CCAGTTCACCACCCAACTTTGTCTTCTCTGATTGGGGGGTAGGGGGTGGGGGTGGGGGGTTTCTCTATCTCTATCCCCTCTGGTTAAACTAAGAAACTTCAAGAGGGGAATGCAAGAACCCCCACCCAATCTTATTTGTGATCTAAGCTCAAAGAGGAGGGCAGCTACTGCTTTGATGCCTACTTCACGGACCATATCAAGAGCTGCTTTAACCTTACCAAAGTGCTGCTTTAAAAGCTGTCACCCCACGCAGGGTGAAGGGGCATCCTGAACAGGATGGGCTCTACAAGGACTGGAGCAAATGGAGAGGGGCAAACTTGTCTGGAAGGTCAGGGGGGCTACCTGTAGTAGTCTTCCTTGCAGTAGATGCTGCCGTCCTTGCTGAAACAGGTGAGCTCCGACTCCAGGTTGAGCTTGCACTCGCAGCACTTCAGGCAGCGCATGTGCCACTGCTTGTCCACAGCCAGCAGGTAGTATCGGTCAGAGATTTTGCCTCCGCAGCCGGCGCACAGCGCCGCACGATCACTGCTGATGGACGGCATAGTCTGCAAAAGGAGGAAGGCAGGAGACCATCATCCTGCGGCAGCCTGCTGCCTCAAGGCCACCAAGAAATGGGGTGTCCACAGCTCTCTCCGGTTAGCGCTGAAAGGCTAGGGAGCTTCCTGGGTGGCAGCGCTTCTTCCACCCTAAAAGGTCCAGATCCAGGCACCTAAGAGCCCAGTCCAGATGGCCCAGCTCTCGGCAGCCATGGGCCCAAGCCCCAGGGTCCTGGTCTAGATGGTTCTTCAGCCTTGCCCCCCCCACTTTCTGGGTCCCCTCTGACTCAGAAATGCTCCCTGTGTTTTTAGGGTCTGTGGCTATTGCAGTCAAGCCTTCCAAGAGCATTTCTCAAAATGTTTCTTTAAAAAGCCAGCCAGCCAGGCCCCAGAAAAAGGATACGGTGACCATTAAAAATCACATGGACTCCTCTTCTGAGAGGCTGCAGAGTTCCTGGTCCCAGTCACTGGTGATCACTGGATCCTGGGACCCAGAGTTTAGGCTAGGGCAGGACAGGGGAGGCAATTTCTGGCTTCTCTCCCACACTGACTGGAGCCTTCTTGAGTCTCTCACAAAGTCTCTGGGTGCAGGTTAGGCCCAACCCAAATCCCTTCCTAATCAAACCGAGGAGCTGAGAAGGTTTAACGGGAAAGAGGGCTCCAAAGCCAGGAGGCCACTAGGCTGCAGCTCTTGAGAAGCTTTGCCTGTGCTCTCCCCTCCTTTGGCCTTTTCTAAAGGTCACTTCTGGGCCCCTGGGAGGTCTGAGGCCAGGAGCTAGCTATTTGGGGCTCGGAGGGCAGAGCCAGGTGTAGAGATCCGAACGGAGTCTCCTTCCGCTACAGCCAGGCCGGAGCCTGAACTTGGAGCCCTGGCCCGGCCAGGTCTCGCGGTCAGAGGCCTGGGGCCACCACTAACGAAAAGTGGTGGCCTAGAAGACTTCAGCCCCAGCTACTCTGCTGGAGAAGGAGCCAGGGCTGCCGGGAGACTGAAGGCGACTCACGCCGGCTTGAGCCCCGGGGCTCCCGGTCGGTTCGCCCTTCTCTGGAGGCGCGGGCGGCGGCAGGGGAGCAGAAGCCGAGCGTAGAGGAGAACCAGGACTGTGGACCCGCGCCCTGGGCAACGTGAGAAGGGAGCCACCCGGGAGGTGGCTTGGACTGCGCTTCCACTCGGGGGAAACGCTCCCCTTCACCCTCCGGGTCCGAGATTTTGGTTTCAACCTTGTTTTCCTCCTCCTCCTCCCCATCAGCCGGTTCCCCGAGCTTGGAGCGATGGGCCTGCTTCCTGTCTGAGGCTAGCCAGCGCTCAGTCCCGTGCTGCCCGAAGGACTCTCCCCAAACTTCGGGGAGCAGAGACGCTGACCGGCTCGGCCCGGCCAGGTCCCAGGTCTCAGCCCCGACTCCGCTGCCGCGCGCCTACCGTCTCCGTGTCGCCGCGGTCAATGGCGGAGCTGATGGCGGGAGCCTCGCTCTTGGCCCTGCGGTCCATCTCGTCGATGACCCCGTGCACCTCGGGGCCCGACAGACTGTGGAACAGCATTGCGGCGGGACCGGCGGGGCCGGGGGCGCGGCTCCTCAGAGGAAGGGCTTGCCCCCCGCCTCAGCTGCCCTGCGCTCCCGGCGCTAACGGGCCCAGTGCATCGCCACCGCGCCCCGGCCCCGCCCGAGCTCGGCTGCGCCCCCAGGCCGGGCTCCGGGCCCCGGGCGCCCGCGGGCCAGGACGCCTCCCGCCGAGACGTGGGGGCAGCTACATCGCGGGGCGCCTGGGCAGCGGCGCCAAAGCCAGGGTCACAAGGGCACGGGGCGGGTGGGGGGTGGCCAGGAGATGGGGGTAGAGGTCGGCGCCCGCCGCGGGCGCTTTCACGCCGCGGGCATCGCCCTCCCGTCTTTGGCGCCCAGGGAGCAAAGCAGGGGTGCAAACTCTGCCCTAGGCGACGACGGCTGCGGTCAGGGTTCACCCAAGAACGGCTAGGTGCCCGCGGCGACCCCGCTGCCCGGACCCTTGCTCTCCCTAGGGTGCGCCCCCAGCCCTAGGCGATCCTTTTGGGCGCCGGGTCGGCGACTGGAGTAGGGGTTTCTCCGAAGCCAGCGAGCTGAGCCGAGCCACCCGGAGAATTGAAGAGGAGGAGGAGGAAGAGGAGGAGGAGGAGGCGGGGGAGAAGGTGGAGGAGGAGAAAAAGGAGGAGGAGCAGAGTAGGAGGAGGAGCCCGCGGCTGTGGGCCCAGCAGCTCGCGACGCTCTCCAAGAGCGCGCTGAGCCCAGCCCTGGCTCTGCAGTCCGCGCCAGCGCAAGCCTCCGCGCCTTTTCTACAGCCGCGCCTGACATCACGTCCTGCCGCCGTGCCATTGGCCGCCCAGCGCCCCAGGCCCTGGCAGCGCGTGCTCCGGGAAGGCGGGAGACCCGAGAGGGAGGGGAGAGGCAAGAGAAGAGAGAGGAGCTGGTGGGAGCTGGTGGGCGAGGCTGGAGGAGGAGGCGGGCGGGAGGGAGGCGGGAGAGCGCGGGGTTTGGAGTTTTTAAGCTGTGAACAGTTTCCTGCGATTTCTGCGGGGAGGAAAATTAAACCCTCTCTTTTCCCTCGCCGTCGCCATCCTAGGAAGGCACAGGTCAAGGATGCTCGAGGAGGTCTTGCTCCTGTCTCTCTGCGGCCTCGGGCAACTGGCTGGGGAGGCCGGGGAAGCCAGGCCTAGAGCAGAGTTGCTAGAGCTTTGGCCATAGCCGGCCGAGCTCCGCCTCTGTCCTGGGCTCCCAGCTGCGGACTACCGGGTGGCACAGCAGGCTTCCTGGGGACCCAGCTGAGCCGGGAGCTGTGACTCCCAAGGAAAAGGCCAGCCAGCATATCCTCACTCTAGGGCCCAGTCTACCGCCAAACAGAAAGTTCTTTGCTCTTCCCCATCATGCTCCGGCCTAGAAGAATGGGGCAAGCATGGTTTGGGTAACTCAAAAGCAAGAGCAGAATCTCAGCCCTGCTACTTACATGCACTGTAATCTTAGGCAAGTGAGTTAAACTCCCTTAGCTTGTTTCTGACTTTGTCAGTGGGAGACACAAAGGTCTCCTCTACATCCATGGGATAAAGAAAGATTATATCAGTAAAATGTTTGAAATACAGTAGGCACTTAGCAAATTCTGTAATCACTTCCCCCTTTCCCTTTCCTATTAAAAACTTTCTCACTTCCATATACATTTGGTATCAAAGATGCTCTTAAAATCAGAGGCACGTTCCCTGCTCACTGGACACACCAAGTCACCCACACTGTCACAGGTGATAGATAGGTCTACCCAGCCACCTGGCTGCACCATTAGGCTAAGGACCTGCTGGGTAAATCCCAACTGCCAAATCCATCCTCCAGACTTCAAGCTTAACCTAGAGTCTCAGGAAATACGGGGCAATGGCTACGTGTCTGGTGGAGTATGGTTTAGCCAATCAAAAATGTTTGTGGAGAAAAATGAAATAAGCAAGCAAGTTGTTCAGTCTAGTGTCTTGGGTCTGTTTTGGAAGTGGTTTCTTAGGCTCCATGAAGTGGTAAGAGATGTGTTAGTCTGAAATGACCTGCTTGCCTGGGCAAGGGGGATGGAAAGCAGGGATAATCAAGCAGAGTATAAAGTTGAGCCAGCATTAAATCATACTTTCCACATACCTGCATAACTTTCACATACATACTCTACTTGGGCTTGTCATTTCCAAGTATGTACACTTGTGATCAGGTCTGCAAGGGCACACATTCATCACTTTTGGCAAAAAAATACAACCACCATGAATTTATATTTGTTAGCACAACTACAGCCAGCGCAGATGAAGAGCTAGGGTGTTCACATGTACAGGAAGTCCAAGTGTCCATTACCTTGCAGATGAATCTGGAAAGCTACACACTAATCACATACTTAGGTGCTCAAGTAGCCCTATTTAAATCTATGTGCATTCTTCTGAAGCAATGTTTTTGCATATTTGCAAAAACTGTTAAAATTACAAGTATGTGTGTACACGCTACACGTGCACAGATGCCTCAACTCGGGAATCCAAAGACGCGCGTGCACGTGTGTTCACACAGCCGTGTGCCTCGGTGCCTGAACAGGGCCAGCGCCCAGGCACGGGGACGCCCACATGGACACACAGTTATGTTTTAGTGACCATCTGGGGCACTTTCTTTCAAAGAAATAAGGAATGAAAATCTAAACTAGGAGTCACCAGAGTTCATCTGGAGGTCGCCAAAGGGGTAGGACAAATTCTACAACAATGCCGGAGTGTTTGTTCTTGGTGCTGGCTGCGTTTCTGAGACCTCTAGGGGCTGTGGTGGAAGCTGAAGTGGGGTCCTCCAGAACTCTCGCTGAGGGCTTCTCAAGAGCCCTGGAATCACACCCTGTGGTTCTTCGCTGCCCCTATGTATATATGCACACGCTTCCTCTGTCTCCAGCACCCTCTTACATCGCTGGACTGACCCCAAATTCCCAGGTAGTCTGGATTCCCACCGGGTGCGCTCCTCTCTTTACCCCTCAGAGCCAGGCTGGGGCGCGCTCCGGTCTGGACCGGGCGCTTCTCCTTCCTCGGGGCCGCATCCGGTCACCCCGCCCTAGGGTTGAGAGGCCAGTAACTGCTAATCTCCCCCAGCGGCTGGGGACGTGGCGCAACCCTGTCCGGGGAGACTAAACAAGGAGAGGAACAGGCTGTAAACACATCTCCTGACACGTGAGTGACATTTACACGGCGCGAGAAGCCACAGCGGAGGGAAAGGCAGGGGTGGGAGGGATCGGACACCGACAGGTAAACGGATCCTTCGTGGACGCCCTTCCTCCTGATCGGGAGAATTCCCAAGTGCCCAAAACCTGCCTCTTGTGGGAGGTGACAGGTGAACCGAATTCAGGTCTGGCCACTGTAGCCGCTGCCCACCTCCCCACCATCTGCTTCCTAGCAGACGAGCAGACCCGGCGCATAATGAGGGAGCAGCCTCCAGCCGGCCACCGTGACTAACTCAGAACAAAAGCGCTCCCTCCACACCTCCTCCAACAAAGGGGCCACCAGCCCGAGCGCTCCCCGAAGGCTGCGGGGCTCCCGGCTGCCGGCTGCGGAGCTGCCGCGCGCAAACTTCCCGGGGCTCCCGGGGCCGCCGGCGCCACCGTGCCGGGACCGCGGAGGGAGGAAGCGCGCGCCGCCCGCCCGGAGAAAGTGGGGCCGGGCCGGGCGGGGGAGCGGGGGTGGGAGGGGGAGACGCGGGCGAGCCGCGGAAGGAGGGTGATTGATCAGTGCGCTGTTCCCGGCGCTCCGTCCCGTTATTAGAGGCGGCCAAAGCAGGGCCACGCAATAACCTCGGAATCGCCAACTAATTGACGCTGCAGGCAACTACTTCATTGTGCGCGCTGGTTTTATGTCTTCATAGCCGGTGATTGACAAGGTGTAATTAGTCATCTCACTCGGTGATAAACATGGGCACCCTCCTCCCGCGGCATCAGGCCGTGTGTACCAGCAGAGGAAGCGATAGTTGACGCTGATATACCATTAAATCAAAATGAAGACGTTCAGAAGTGTGTGTTTGCTGTGACGCTCTGATGGTTTATTTCTCAAATACGGCACCAACAGATTTACTTGATTTGCAAGTTAACTACAACATTAACTGGTTTTATTTATTTTGCCTCTTCCTTCCTCTTCCTAGGCAGGGATGTTGCTCTTGGAGAATGTGAAGACAGTTTGCTTCTTGACAAGCGAGCGAACGGGCGCCCAGATTTCTGCAGCCTTCCCGAGTCTCCCCCGAGGGAAAGGCGGGCAGAGAAAACGCCAGATTTGGGAGCCACCAGGGAAGGGTTCTGCTCAGGGAAGTCACCCTCTTGGCCCCACTTTTCTGCCTGGGGCCCCCATTTGGGGACCGCCGGTGGCTGACCACAGACTCTAAGGGTGGTGCTGGGATTTGGGGTGGGGCAAACCACTTGAATAATAACTATAAAGAAGAAAGAGGCAAAATCAACACTTCTCCCCTGCTTTGAAGTGGAAAGGGTGGTTCCTAGAGCTTCTGGCTCCAGCCACAAGGCCAGTTGCCTGCCTCTATTCCCCGAATAGAATGTAACGTCTCCTGTGTTTTAAGCGTGCTTGCATCATTCAGCAAATTACACTCCTTGCTTACCAAAGTGGGTCTTGCTCAGGGAAATTGTGTGTGGTTGTGTGTGTGTGGTTGTGTGCGTGTGTGTGTGCACACAAGCACGTGTGTGCATGACCAGCTTCCCCCTCCACACTGAGGCTGCTGTTAGGGGTACTGTTTATTCATTCCAGAATCCTAGAGGCTTACATTTGAAAAAGAGATGGGACACACTTGGTTTGTTTTGGCCCTAATTCTGGTTAGAGAACAGCAGTGACTGAACAAAGCCACCAATATTTGGAAATCCATTTCCAGGGTACAGCATGTGCCCCCAGGAGGCCCCTAGTGGGCTTCCCACACTTGCCCTTGTCTCTAACCCCTGCGTTCAGTTTATATAGCAGAGGAATGGTGATTCCTCATTTCTGTACAGGAATGTGGGGTTGTGGGCACCTCCAAGAAAAGGCAGGGGTGAGGGGAAGTCATAAGGACCACAAAATAGCCCCGTGTCTTCAATAAGGACCCCCCTTTCCCTCACTTCTAGGGCCTGTTCAGCAAAAGAGAGGATTGTTTTATATTGATGCGGGAGGCTGTCAGTCAGCAGCAAATCTGCCTAGCCATGACTATCTTTCTTTATGAAATCAGCTCATTGCCTTGGTAGCATCACACAGAAAATCTGCTGATCACCACTGTCGAGGATGAAAACCAGTGGGGCCTTCGTTATTTCCAAGCGGAGCCCCTGGTCTGCGACCCTAGAATAGAGACATGGCTTGGCCCATTGCAGGCAGAAAGCAGCCCGATTCCTCCTCCTCTTCTCCCTGCAGCGATCTAAACAATTCTGAAACCGCCTCCCTGGGCGTCAGCTGAGCAGGTTGGGGAACTAACCAGGGCTCTCTCTCCAGGGCCCTGTTAAATGCACTGAACTTAAAATGAAACACGAAGTGTGAATTTCAGGTTTGAACATGATGCATCAGGAAACTCAGAGGTTGGCAGCCCTTTTCCTCCCTCCTGCCTTTCGGTAGCAGGTATTAATATTGTATTAAATGTTATGAGGCAGTAAGGGCTGTGGAGAGAATGTGCTCAGATGCAATTTTGTCAAGGTTTTTATCTGTGATTATGATTCCAGATGTAGAAGCTCCCGGAGGAGGGAAATGAGGGGCTGCTGGCATGTGACATGTGTTTTAAGGTGTTTGGCAGTGTTTCTCAAAGTGGTGACAAAATGTTCAATTTTATTACAGGGAATTGGTAAAAGAAATGTGAATACTAGGTCAGAGATTATTCATCTCAGCAAAAGGATTTACCATTATTGATTAGAGTGTGGAAAGTTTGTATCTGGGCCCTACTCAAATCACATTGTCAACAATATAAATCTGTCAGAACAGATTATTCTTTTTTTTTTTTCTTTTGCTTTTGCTTTTTGGTCTTGGGAATTGAACTCACGACCTCATGTTTGCCAAGCAGGCACTTATCAAGAAGAAGCTGAGTTAAACCCCTGGCCAGAACAGATTATTCTTAAAGAACACTTGTAACAAAACACGCAATAGCTACTAGCAACCCCCCCAGCTAACTTCCACAAAAAGATATACATTGCCCTGAAAGAAAAAAAATACTATAAATACTGCAAGAGGTCTTTTTCCCCCCACAACTGACATAACTATAGCCATACTTTCTACCTTGAAGATTTTTAAAACTAGCAGAGAATTATAATCCTGGAAAAGCCATTTTGGTAGTCCCTGCTCTGCAAGACTTTCTGGTTGAAGCACAAAATAAATAAATAAATAAATTTCCTCACACAAGGAACCACATTTGCTTAAAAGAGAATGTTGTAGGAAAAAGTGGGAATGAGGAGAAAGCAGACAACCCGAATCCCGAATGAGTAGCTGACAATTTTATAGCTCCATGCATGTGATACTGGAAATTGTAGCTACCACAATCTTTCTTCATTAATTCTACCATCCCTCTTTGACAACAGAACACCCCTAAACTCCATCATGAAGCACAGATTTTTCCTCATAAACCTGTAATGTGTGTCACATTCACTAGCACTAGTGGACTCTGGTGTGCGCTGATGCTCACTACACTGGAGAGGGGCTGGTAAGCATTTCCGCAGAACAAAAGGGAGGTTGCGCCTAAAGATGCGGGCCTTGGTTCCTCCCTGGGTCTCCAAACCAAGGACAAGAGTCTGTACCCACTTGCTGGAGTCACTGAACATACAGTTCACCCTAAATTTAGCATATCCATTCCCTTCTCTTAATCCAAGCTAAAAGATGTAGGTTTCAACTTTCCAGCTATTGACACTATTTTACTATCACAAAGCATAGTAAGTTCCTAGAACTAATTGCACCTTCTCCTTGGAAGTAAGAAGGTTTGTATCCCAGGTCTTTCTCCCTGTACTTTCACCCAGACCTCCCCAATCCTAGCCCAACTTTCCACTGATCCTATTGGCAAATCTCTACTGCTATTTGGGAAGTTGGCATTGTCTTCTTAGGTGAGGAACGAATCATTTCCTACATATGTTTTAGCTGAAGCTCAGCCCCTTGGCACCTCCTCCCCCAACATTTTTATCCTCCCATTAATTAAAACAACTAATGTCCCATAGATTACCTTTGCATGAATGAAAATCATTATGAGCCCTTGCAGGTATATGGGAAATTGTTTGCTTAAGTATTCACACTTTGATTTCCTATAGACTCATTTTCTCAAGCATACAGAAATTCAAACAAAAACAAAAGCAAAATCTCCTGACACCTTGCAATAAAACATGAGGACTAGTTGTAGTGAGCTGGAACTGATCTCTTGTAGAAGGAAATGTTTAGGTGGCTCTATGCTGGAGCTGAATTTGACTCTCTGGTAAATGATGCTAGACAATTAAGGTAAACATTGATAGATCATCAGATGCAGATTTTGAATTCAGGCTTGTGTGGAGTGAGAGCAGCTCATCCAAATTTACTTTTAAGCTACTGTGTGAGTCCTCAAAAGTAAAAAAGGCAGCGGACAAATCAGCTCTATTTGGAATTTCCTAGCTAGTTGGCCATTTCAGCTTGCGTCTCCATTTCTGGGGGCTGCCATAATTAGAGCGATCTATTTTGCATTTACTTCTCTTTGCAAGGACTACATTATTCACTCTTTCCTGTGCTTATTAAACAGTGCCACCTGCACCAAATTCAACAAAGCTCTTCCATCAGCCGGGCTCAGCTAAGGATCCCAGACCATATATTATCATTAATTGAAGCTCAATTGAATGGTAGACGATAGAGGCATGAGTAAAAGCAATACAGCTTCCAGGACCTGTTTATAAAAATATTTTAAGCAAGAAAAAAATTTTCTATTCCTTAAATTGTCATGTTACAAACTCTGCATAATTCTCTCTGTACAGTAATTCAAGCAGCAATTAGCAAGTCTTTTAATTAATGAACTATTCCCTGTATGTCACCAAGGTGCCTTAACACAAATGTCCTTCTTCATAGGTACTAGCAAATGCAGTCAATATTTTGTCACACAAAGCCTTCCAACCTGACCACCACGCTAGCCCTAACGCTACGAAAAAGAGGATCTGAAACGCTAAAGATGAGGCTAGAAAGCAGAGGACAATTTTCAGGAAACCAGCACGGATACCAAGAATTCATCTTAGGAATGAGACAGCCAAAAGGAAGGGAGCCAGAGACAGGGATGGGAGAGGCAGAAAATGAATGTACATAGACAGCAGGGGTTAAAGAAAGGCACAGAAAGTTTCAGGCAAAGGGAGACCATCTCTGAGATTCAGCCACGTTACAATAAACTCTACACCCAAGTGCTGATGATTTACACATTTTTAAGAGCCTCAAACCTCACTGTGGTTTGCTGTTTTAAAAAGCTTCCTGCTTTGTTCAAAATACTGCTTATCTTTGGCATTGTCAACAGCTCTACATCTGGGAGAGATTAATTAAGTGATAAGTCAGACACAATAAGGTGAAAGGGCACATCCACCCAATCAGGGCTGATTCATCCATTTCTAGGTGGATCAACTTTTTTGAGGGATGCCAATTTTGGTTCCATTTCTAGGGGCATTTATCAATAGGGATGCCTGAACTCTCCCTCCAGTGAGAGGTGCTTAGCTATAGAAGATTGTTCTGTAGACAGAAAAATCCAAAAACCTACATTCTGTCTTGTTTAAGACCTAAAAAGAAATCATGACTATCAATTGTCTGTGTGCTTAAGTTTTACCAATCTGGGTGAAGGTTGATCTTGACTATGATTCTTTTACAAAATAGCTAATTGGGTGGTTACAAATAAGATTGCTATGCAACACAATAAAAAATTAAAAGTTCGATTTCGTTCCCTCCCCCTCCCAAGTGTTTCTCATGGTCCTCTCCTTTCAAGTCTACTTTTAATTTGTAGGAGGCAACAAGAGAGAAAGAGATAGGAAAGGGGTAGGGGAGGAGGAAAGAGAATGAAAGAGAAAAGGAGGGATTCTAGGTGTCATCGACTGAGTATTTCCAGACCAATTAGGGGTTATCTTTAAATCTCCATCCTCCACCCCCTCCACACCTTTCTAAATAGATCTTTAGATTAGTGAGAAATTAGTTAATTGGGGAAAGCCATGTGGCTGGTTCACCCAGTTCCTAACTGGAAGGGTTTTCAGGACCTTAGATCCCACTCCCGCCCATCTCTTCAGCAGTGCACCAGTCTGGGTCAAAATTCTGGATGCATAATTATGTGTGTGTTTGTGTTTGTGTGAGAAGGGCAGACAGAGACAGAAGTAAACTCTCAGCCCAGGGAGGAAGACTAGGTTCAGGTGAAGTGGTTATTCTGGGCAGATCCCAAACAAAACATTCAAAATATTTTTGCTCTGTTTTTGAACACTCCCGCCTAAATGAGGTTCGCATTTCCCAAGGTATTTTGAGGGGAGTTGGGTAGGGAGGTCATGGGGGTTAAATAATGGTTGGGGTGTTTTAACTGACCAGCCATTTCCCCTTCTCCAAAGAAACAGAATACTAGCTTCTTAGCTATCAAATTCTTTAAATCATCTGGGATCTATCTATATTTTAAAAACTGAGCAGAAATACTTAACAGCCT